AAATTTAGCCAGATACAGATTTAAAAATAATTTTGTAGGATTTAAAATAAAGGCCATAGGACAGATTTTTACATAACGCTGCGTAACACATAAGGTATAAGGCCTAAGAAAATCAACCATTTAGAGTTCTTTATTTCATACTCTGATTGGTTGATTCTCTTATTTGTACTACAACTTTAATTATGTAGGATATTCAAACATGAAGAGCAATGCTGCAAAAAGTTTTAATGTTCTGGCGACCAGCTTCAGGTCTTATAGGTACTCCTGCATATAATTATGATCCAACAAAATTATTTTTAGAACTATATCTAAATTGCTTTTAGTAAAATATAGTCCTTTTTGTATATAGTATATATCGTTCTCGCTTATATCATTGTCTACGTATTGATATAGTTGTTGTCAATCATTGACATGATTGAGCCTTCGTGATTGAAATAAAGTTGTACAAAGAAAATTTCGTTTTTGGGGTGGGGCTCGTTAGGAATGGGGAGTACGACTTCAACAACTACCAATCTTGTCGATTGTCCAAGAGTCTCTTTAGATCCTTCTGTCAATCAGCATTTAATTGAAATTCTGGTAAAGGAGATACCACTGTCTGGCGCGCACGAACTTGAATGTCGACGTTCCCCGGTTCGACGTGTACTAATTAAACCTCGCATTGTGCGCTGCACGAACGAACTAATTAACGGTGAAAAAAGACATTGCGCGTGCCCGATGCATGCCTTGGATTTATTTGCCCGCGTCAAATGATTTAATTATAAGGTGCGGGTAGCGGGACCGCCGAACAAAATTCATCGGAGATTGCATCGGCGAGCGGATCGTAAGTTCTTGGTTAAGTGAAATCTGGGAATCCCTGACGGGTGGGGGGAGGGGGGATAACGGCGCCCCATCTTGAAATTTGCGCCACCGATCGCACATCGATCGCTACCCGTAAGGCGGTAATTACTCCGGAGGGAATTTCGTAATCTTCGCCACGCGCTTAATCGGTAATTAAAGCTTAACCACGCAGCCGTCGCTGTGCCTCTGCCACGTCCCTCCTGTCACCCCTGTCTCTCCGCGTTCCATTCTCTCTCTCTCTCTCCTCTCCCCCTTTCTCTCTCTCTCTCTCTCTCTCTCTCTCTCTCTCTCTCTCGGACTTGTATTCTTGGCATTATAGTTTTTTTTTTCGCGATCTTCACTAGGGCACTCATTAGGGGAAGATCGGCGCGGCGAAGGGGAGTTCTGGTCAGTTCGTAATTAGTGGCACTAACGAGGGACGCGCTTCTTGCGACGCGTGTACGCGCACCAATGTGCAAGACCAGTACATTGCCCGCGAGAATCAATTTTCAATTTTCTTTTTTCTACGAAGAATATCTTTTGGCTCATTGGATCGATTTAAAAAAATAGACCTGAAATTTTCGTCACTATGTTCAGAAACGAGAAAATTTGTTTTGAACGATGAATTATTATTAGATTGATATAATGTCAATCATAATAGTTGTATATTCAGTAAATAGATTGGAGTGTACCGCAGTTGTTTTAAAGAAGTAACGAAATACTGTAATGTAACGTATAGAATTAAGATCCGAAGTCGACCGCGATGTAGTCTCGATCGACCAGCCCCAAAGACCCTCAGCAAGTTTCACCTGTTCTTTTTTCCCCATCTCGAGTGCTATCTCTTTTAAAGGGCCCAACACACACGTAGACGCTCCTAGTCCAACCGGTCCACAGATACAGCCATGCCACCGTGTTCAAGGTGTTCATGGCGTAGCCGAAAAACGTTCTGAGAGTACACGAGGAAGAGATAGAGAAGGAGAAACGGAGACAGATATACTTATATAGGATATACGTGTGTGTGTGTATGCGCGCGCGCGTGCGTACAAGTGTACGTATATGCATGAAACAGAGACGAGACACTGGCGTAGCAGAATTATTTATGATGCCTGATAGAG